TTTTAATTTTTTTTTTAATTTTTTTTTAATTTTTAATTTTTTTTTAAAGATTATGAAGCCATTTTGTTGGTGGGCAATTGATTTGGTAGCGGCAACGAAATTTCATTTTTACCAAAACGGCATGTCGCCTTTACTGGAACATAATATATATCTGAGATGCAGTAGAACTGCTTTCGGAATTTATGGTTTCTCATTTATGAATGTTACTACTGATACTTCCTACGTGTTAGTATCTTTTTAAACTTTTCTTCTAAATTCGGATCTAACAAAATTCTTTTGCACCTGTATTTCTCTTGAAGAAGTGATGAAACACAATGTAAATTCCAATTATTCGAAAATACTTAATAATGAACTGGTCCTAACAATTAAAGGGTACTTTAAATCTTTAAACAAATTAAAATTCAAAACAAAACAGTTAAAATATTTAGAAAAAAAAGTCAAATATTGATTAAAACAACGCCAATAATTGAATTTCATAAAATGAAAAGTGTTCAAAGGGTTACAAGAGTTACATATTAAATTATTTTAGCGATTTGAAAGTGAATGAAAATGAAATTAAAATTGAAGAACGGCAAAAAATTCTTGTCGAAGTTATATATTACTGTTGCAGATCATGCGAACATTATGAGGTAAATATACAACAAACGCCAAATAAATCACAAGTCCAATCATTTCTCATGTCCTTGTGAATTTCCCCTGTGACTGGTTCACGTGGATATGACTACGTGGATATGTTCACGTGGATATTGTGACTGGTTCACGTGGATATAACTACGTAGATGTGTTCACCTGGTATGAGTACGTGGATATGTTTATGTGGAGATGACTTTTGTTACATGATTGTTCTTTCTTCCAACCATTTTTTCCTCAACATGCGTAATCTTGTCTGCAACAGTTTTGAATACTGTAGAATAAAACAGATGAAGAAATAATCGAAGATCTTGCTACGGAATTCTACAGGCGTCGTTTCAAGGACTCAACAGGAATATTGCAGAAGGATTCCGGTTACTGCATTAATGTTGATGGTGAAAAAGAAGTAAACTGATCTTCGGATTTTCTAAATAATTTTGAAAAAAGAAAAAGTTGAAATTAGAAATTCATAACTGCCAAATAGTCTTTGGGTGACTAAACTGATTTGCAATTGTTTTTGGGATTCTAAGAGAGATTTAATGTTTAGATGAGTGACTTGTCATGCATGTTTATGCTTGACGTAAATACTCCAGCGAAGGTACATTTTGGCGCAATGCACTGGAACATGATCGACTTGATGAAGCAGTCATCGGAACGTGAAAATGTATGTTTGGTGACGTAGCGGGAATAAAGCAACCAAATGGAGATGATGTAGGAAAGTCTTCCTTTCGTTTTCTACAAATCCCATGATCCCAACTGGTCTAGGTCAAAGGATAAAACATATCGATTTCTTTTTACAAAATTTCATATTTCAATTTTACAAAAACAATGCATTGTAAACAAGAAAAGAAATTTGCATCTTTCTGTTTTCTTCACGTACTGATGTTTTTTTTAATTTTAAATGTTTTCCAAATGTAGTCCCATTTTCCGAAACCTTTCATAAAAACTTTCAGAATTCACTAGTAGCCTTGGCACTTCGAGGTCATTTTTGTGCACCATATAGTGTTTCGCAAATTCCGGATGGTGAATGCATCCGGTACGCATCGATACGGGAATACTTCGTCCTCTGTTGCTGTTATGAAATACCCGAACTTTGTGCATATACAATATCCAATAAATCGATGAGCAACGTGAAAATGAATCGTAAGATATGGGAAGCGAATATCGAAGTTCGCAATTCTCTTGTAGCTAATGAATTGCGTATAAATAGATATGATACGCCAACAAGCTCTTGGACGTATCGGGATTTCATCTACAGTAAACCCACGACGTTTGGTAAGCTCTATTGATAGTGAGACCAAATACCCATTTGTTCACAGTAATTATTTCATCTACGTCAACAGGATTTACTATCGATTGAACAAAATTTTAATTAATGAATATGTTTTTATGATTTTATGAGTGGGTGTGTCTTCTTTGTCTCTTCAATGCTGTCGCAGTGGTCATTTTCAAACTGTAATAGAAGATGGCATACTGCAATGAACAAAATTTTGATTACAGTGTGTAAAATCGTTAAATTCTGCACAACGTCATCCGATTTTAGCTAGGAAATCTTAGGGGTTATCATTAAATGCCATTTATTTTCCAAGCTGACCAAAAAGAAATTTCGACCATTCGTAATGTCCCACTTTGGCACTGTGCTGTTGGTCGGTTCATGGTGTACAGCAGTCGAGGTATTAGTGCTTCTACGGAACTGGACAAACTGAAACGAAACGACCTACCAATCCCTACTCAGTATTGTATCGCTGATTTTTGGATCGAATTCAAGCAAGGCCAAACAAAAAGGTAAGAATTACAGTTTGCGCTACCTTATTTTTCTCCTTTCTATTAATCTTATAGTCATTCTGATGTTATCATCAGTCAATAGAGTCAATCCCTTGCCATTGTGGTAAACGTTACCAGAAATGTCTGTGAAAAGGTTGTATGAAAAATTTTTAATCAGGTCACTGATCAGATCGATTCATCCTAAACCTCAAACGTGATTGATTCATCTGTCTCATTTTGTACAAAAGTGATCTGGCTTGCTTGAAGTTTGTGTTTCATCAGACATTGAAAACTGATATCAGTTTTTGTGAAACAGACGACATTTAGAAGACTGAAATGTATGGCAGATAGATTTTGAATTAGTTTTTGATAAATAAAACAATTCATCTTATATGCTTAAGACAAGGTAAAGTTAATTAACAATAGTTTAAATTTAAAATGTTCATCCCTTGTCGTCACGACCACTTTGTGGCAAATAATTCCTATACAGGAATTCATTTGAGAATTTTAATCAAACTTTTCTTTATATTACACATCAATTATAATTGAGAGCAAACAAGTGACAGTTCAAAACATTTTAGCATATATTTGGATGCAAATGCAGATATAAAAGGCAGATGTAATTCAATTGAAAGCATTTTTTGTCAGCTAGTCGGACCGGGATGTCTCAATGATTTGTTATATGTATCACATGTTCAAGCAAAATATCAGTGCTGTTGTAATCGTGGAAATTTGTGTAATCACTGGGGCAATGGCAATCTTTTCAAAAGCAAATATCAAATTAGTCTAAAACCAGAGGATTTGCAGAAGTTAGATTACTTTGATTTTGTTATTTCGTGTCTTTTTGAAAACTATTTGGAAGTAAATTTGGAATTTTAAATCTGAAGTCTTTACAACATAGTTAAACATATTTAATGTTTGTTTGCAGAAATATTTAAAAAATGAATTTGTAACAATTTCAGTCTTCTTTTTTAAATACATTTGATCAGTAAAAGGCAAAATTCAAATTATAACTAGTTCTAGTCCTAAATTCCTAAGCATATTGGAAGTTATAGCAGATTTTGACCTTTAGCGAAATCTTAATTTTTTTTTCAATACTAATGGTTTTAATAGGAGATTTAAACAACGACTGTGTGATTTCATTGAAATAAAAATCTTAAAAGTTACATTAAGAATCAGTTTTAGTGTTGCATTTCAATGTCACATCAAGGCTATAGCATATTTGACGCAAGTTTTTATGAAAAGCACTAAGGACGATTTATCAAAAAGTAAGTTCAATAACTTACAAAAAGAGGCTTCATGAAGACCAGTCATTGCTAAACTTCCAGAGTTCGAATAAGTGGTAAAGTTTCCACGAAAGGTCATCTTCGATATAAACGCATTTTGTCTTTGCAGTATGTTGGCGATCATTTGATTTCCATTTCGAGCAAGAAATCCTCATGGTTCCTGGAGTTTCGTATCAGCAAGAAATGATTTACCGGGTGGCACGTAAGGAATTCTCTGACCAGTAAGTTTAATTTTTGAAATAGCTCCACATGAAGGTTACCATTCTTCTGAAAGTGTGGGTGGAAAAAAATTTTTCGGAATGTGAATCACCAACCTTAACTAACTGTTTGCTGTTTACTGCAACACGACTGCATGCCTAATATGGCGCACTGCATGATGCTTCAAAAGACTCACTGTCATGTTAAGTCCACTACTAAGTTCGAAATGATTTTTAACATGACTTTTCGAAATTTTGACCAATGGAGATTACTAATGAAATTTTTTTCCTTATGCATTTAAAGCTTCTTTCTTATAGACATTTGGTTTGTGAAATATTGAATGTGTTCCCACTACGACCACAAAATTGTCATCGAAAGGATTATATACATCAGCCTATCACTTATCAATTTTTCAAATGTGAATGTAGACAGCGCATGACATATCTCAGTCTATTGATGGATTTATTTTTCAGTTACCTGTTGAAAGAAAGCGAAACTGTATGAAATCCAAATTCTCACTTATCAGGAGGAAAAGTTATTTAAATTTTAATGAAGTCTTCTGTAAAACTTCTAAACTGACAACTTTTGAATTAAGAAATGTCTAAAAAAATCGAGGATATTGTGTTTTAATACCAAGAACATTTCTGTGACAAGTCGGAATCGTTTTTGCTTTATCTACCAGTTAGTCGAGATGTCAACTCATTTTAAACATATTCAGAAATCCGTGATCTCTTTTCGGACGCTTGGAGTTAACGGAAATATATCCGACATTTCGGAACTATGCAATTGCTTATCACTTCCCAACATTAATTAAGTTACTAGAGCAAAGGATTTTGTCTATTTTAAAAAAAGGGGATATTCTAAGACAGTTAGATCCATTTTTATTCACTCCAAAGAAATTTGACTTTATTCCTCTCTATTTTCAATTTATTTCCCAGTTATCCTGCAGGAAACTTGTGATGAAAATATGGCCAATTATTTCGAACAATACAAAGATACTCTTGTAAGGCCAACTTGCTACGAGGCGTATGATGAAAGTGGGCCATCAACAATTGAATTATATTCAGTTACCCGGACTATTAGTTTTACTGGTGTTTCAATCAGAAGAGTGGTAAGAAGTCATTGTTCCGTTATAGTGTGGAATCCCTTAAGCAAGTTGAAAGTCTTAGTCAAATTTTACTAAATCCCAGAAACTTGAGAAGAAACTTCTCGATGAGATAAACTTCTTCCACTGTATATTCACTGTCATTAATTATCATCAATCACTGATTATTATTGACCTGCTTTTACCTTCAGAAATACCTAAGTATGATTTTACAGCGATAAAAATTTAAAATTTTTTGGATGTCTTACCCTATTTTTCATTTCATTTCTATCAGAATCCAACATAAGAAAGCGAAATCCTTTCACTTTTAGGTGACAAATAGTACTCCGATTTGTGTTACTTTTGTCAGAATTAGCCGCGAAAGCGTTTCGTTTGGTATACACGCATTACGTCCAGCAAAAACAGTCACTAAGGGTCAAGATTCGAGACGTTTTATGAAGCTTGGACGGCGTCAAACTAATGTATTTGTACAACGATGTCAATCAAATTCAACTAAATCATGTAATGGTCAGCCAATATTCATTTCGTTTTACACTAGGTCCCATTTCTACCAAAACTTCAGTTTGATTCTTTTTAAAAAACTTGGAAAGTCATTAGATGTAAGTTTTTTTAGCGGCTTGTTGCCGTGAGAGCTATTCAAGCGAAAATCACAGGAACTGTAAACTTAAAGGCATTTCAATAGTTTTAAGATCAAAACTTCTCTTTTTCAGGTTTCGAAAATTTGATTGAACATTTGTTGCCATTTGCGTTACACCACTATGCAGGTAATAGAGAACCGTCTGGTTACTCGAAATGTTTTATTACAGATGATTTACAGCGAATAAACTGTAAAACGAATTTGGGATGCTTCGATTTTCATTCTTTCGGCGGTGAAAGGCAAGTAAGCTTAGATTTTATAAATGAAAACTAAGCTTATTCACAAATGAACGGGTAAGTTAATGTGAACAAAAATGATGGTAATTAAAAATTTAAACTCTGTGGCTTTGCAAATATTGTAAGCCCTATTTACATAAGTCAAATTTTGAAAGTAATTTCATAAATTGCAATTAACAATTTGGAGCAGTTATCTTTTACCAAAAGCTAACGAAGCTAAGTTAGAAATTCGCGGTACCTTTTTTTAAAAAAAAAGAACGGAAGCTATTAACATTTTGTCTTTACTTCATTATCTTTAAATTAACTAATTAAACCAAACTTGTTTTATTATCTCTAGTATTTCCAAACATCTTCAGATTCGTCTTCAGATGCTGAAAACCTCCTCCTTCCATCTGTTGAACTTAATGTCAAAATCAAAACTTTTTAAGCGTGGATGTATTGATGAAATACCAAGCCTAGTGGAACAAAAGCCTGAATTAGCGGTGCTAAATTATTGTAAATACGTAAAGTTGTGGTATGTTAGATCATATATGTGTAGTGGTATACATCATATCACATATTTTCATGCAAAGATACTCGATGGAGTACTGTGCTGTTGCAAAAGAATTTGTCCATTAAGGTAATAAATCAACTAATTTCCATCTAAACGTTGAACCATTAGGAAAAATGAGAGCTAGAGCTTAGACAAGTGCTCCGTCATTAGTACGACTACCTTCGCATTTACCACAATTTAGATCAATGGGTAAATAATTAATTTGACCTAAAATTAGTCTCAGTATCCAAAATTTGATCGCTTAAATTAGTTTTTCCATGATATGCTTCGATTCATTAATATATTTCAAGTCATCTGAAAAGTGAATTTTCAGCAGTCAAGCTCAATCGCCAACGAATAAGAATATGGGCTTCAGTACTTTTGAATCGATTTTCTGAAAGTTTTTCATCATCCTCTTCATAACACCTTTTTTTTTCATCAATACTTTTGCATATTGTTAACTTTCATACATGCATTATGTCGAAATATTTGATAACCTTAAGTTGGTCCAATATAAACGGAACCTCCTCGTATCATTGTTGGAGTTAAGTATTTTGAGTTATGCAAGGTGTTAATACAGGTAAATGCAGTCCGATAAAAAGTTTGCTTCGAATAAAATTCTAAAATTGAACTGAATAACTGAAGGACCAGCAAGCGTGATCGTCATTTTCAGTCCTGTTTATTATTTCTTTTCCATTTCTAATTCAGAATTGATGAGAGGTCGACCTCTACAGTTGCAGTGCTGCCTTCAAAAGAGGAACCATCCTGACAATGTCGCACTTTCTTGAATACTTCCAGATGCCCTCTTCTAAAAATGACTTTGACTTGAAAATAACTTTTTCATACTCATTTTAATATAACCAGTGGTATTCTGTTTTTTCTTCTTTCCTTTCATATTTGAAACTATTCTACACCTTTATCGTTATCCTTTATATCATCCCAACAAATCCCTAATAGAGCTATCGGTTCCCCGAATGAAAGATAACCTGATTTCTGTAATAGCAAAAGAAATGGAAAATGGCAAAAATAACAATCATTATAATAATTGTGAGAGCGCCCATCCTTTGATGAATTACCTCACTTTTGTGCACCTCAAATGCATTCGTTTCCATCAAATCTTATATGAATTGTCTTCCGGACCTGCAACTCAAACTTCCGGAAACTTTACAAGAAACTATAAAGTGTATGAGTCATCCTCACTTCTGCTATTGCGCGCTTTTGTATATATCCTAGACGGTTGTTTTACAATCCTGGTATTATGCACTCGCCATTACTGGTGAATGATGAAGGTCAAGAACGTGTGGATGACCATGATGACGGTCACGGTACACATAACAGTAGTCTCTTGCTTTCTGAGAGAAGTCAGTTTTTTGGAAAGCATAGTTTAAAAAAATTTCCAGGTCGAGGCGTCCACCTGGTATATTCCGAATATGATTGTGCTCCATCTGAAATCGATGTTGAGGTAATCGAAGGAGCCAAGCAATATTGGTGGCAAAGTTCAAAATCGAGTGAGTGTGGAATTTATCGTTCTAATACGTTACGTTCTTCACATTTTTTCATATATGTGTAATGATTTATAGCAGCTGATGGAATTAATTTCTATTATAATCATGCGCCACATGGGACCAATGATTATTGCTCACCACAGTGTAATGAATTCTTTAATTAACATCTTAATTCTTCGGACAATTATTTACTATGACACTTATAGAAAAAGGAAAAGGAAAGTGGTACAAAAAAATTGCTCAATAATTTACAAAGCTCTAAAAATAGTAATAACAATGGTTAACATGTCACAAAAACAAGGAAACAAATATTGAGATACCAAGACCTGGGTTATCGAAAGGTGATCTCGAAATCGGATTTAGGACAAATCCGATGACTGGCTTATCCATATATTTAATACTTGGTTACCAGCAGCCAGACAACCATAGGAAGTACTACTTATTTGCGTATAAAATACTTGTTTGCTTAGGAAACATTTATTTGAATAGGAGGAACTTATTTGTAATCAGCAATATTTAAGGTGGTAGGGAAGTATGTCTCGTTTATTCCGATTACGATGAGCCATCCTCTGAGACGAGTGTTGAAATGAGCCAATTATTTCGTAATAACAAAACTGACGGTTTGTCTAACATATTATATGAATTGCTCCGGCATAAACCGGAATGTATTGCAAATCTATCTCAAGAAGTCGGTATAGGACCTGTTTAACATGCATAGCTTCACTAATTCATGATTACACCTTGCACTGAATTAATAAATTAAAAAATGCTTTGGCAAAGAGACTGATTTAGAATAAAAATTACAAAATATATAAGAAATCATAAAAAATTGCATTAATTTCCAAAAAGGACCGAACTTTCTTTTTAGGCCGTGAAGTTCGTTTAATTTATTCCGAATATGATGAGCCTCCGTCAGAGACAGATGTTGAATATGATGGACGTCCATGGTGCTCTATTTTTGGTGGGTATTTCTGTCATGTCGATCTTACAAAAGTTTATTCACTTTTCATCTACTGGATCTTTAAGCTAAATTTATGCCAAAAATGCAGTTCTAGTCTATCTTTAGGGAATCCGGCATTTTGGAAAATCCGAGATGAAGGTATGGCCTACTTATTTTGCCTTTTGCATTTCGCAGAATTTTTATTAAGTACTTGTCAGATATTACTGTACGTATTAGCGTAAAACAGTTGCAATCATATAAATACAATAATTTGATATATATTTTTAAAAATTGAATTAGTCATCTATTGGTAATGAGCATAAAAAGATGTTACCTTCAATAGACAAGACCAAGACCAAACTCCTATTGGGATTTACATCGATCCAAAATGAATTATTGTATTAGAAAAGCAATAATCTAAAGATAATATATATATGAATACTGCAAAGGTATTATTTCAGGTCGTGAAACGCATTTAATCTATTCTGATTATACAGAACCGAAATCTGAAGCAGTTATTGAAATTGAATATGACAGCCAATCCAAAATTACGAAATCAAGTAATTATTTCAGAATTATAATCAATTTGCTGTTTTTACCTACGAAAATATTTTTTATGTTATGAAGAGATAAAATGAAAAGATATGAAATTGAAAGTTACAATATGATTTAAAAAGTATTGGTATCACAGGCGATCCAGAAACTCTCGATGAGGAGCTAAGCACAGGTGAGATTATTTTAGCAATCAGATGGACAACATTACTTTAGAATTTCATTAAAATCTAAAGCATTCATTTTTATAAAAGGAGAAAAGGGAAGGAAGAAATTTTAAACTTGCAATAAGGGCATGAATGTTATTTCTAAGAATTCAGAAAACCAATCTAAAGACGTGAAAGAAATTAGTGTGAAAATCAGTAATGTTGGGAGCAGTTTTTAAAAAGCACCAAATGTGTCAGTGATATTGACAGTGAAACAAGTCATGCGCCAAATCCATTCGTTTCATCAGCCTTGAAATAATTTTTAATGTTTTGATATCTCATTGTCCAATAATAAAGTCAGAAACAGAATCTGAAGAAATGATAATAACTTTCTGGGCACTTAATTTTGCGTAATCAATGAGTAATGTTAAGAATTATTTAAGTAGCTTGAGTCAATTCATATTTTAGACTGTCGCTTTCAATGATGCTTACTCAGGTAACACTGTCATACAATTATTATATTAGCCCTATATCTTAGAAAACGAAATATGAAGCAAACTAGAATGCTTTCCAGAAAATGAAAGAGATTATATATTCTACAGGACAAGAAATATCGTGGAGTGCAGATGACATCTCCAGCATTGATACGCATAACACTATTTCGAGCGATATTTATACGCGTAAGATAAGTTCCGTTACTATAAAAATGATGCTGATTAACTGAATTCAAAATAATTTCAAATTTAGGACGTCCACCGAAACTTCGTCCCGTGTACTTTAAAGATTCTCTGGAATTAATTCAACAAAGTAAGCCTTTCCAATATTCAACCTACTCTTCTCACTTTTTAAAATTTTAATTCATCTGCTAAATCCCCTCAAAATTTCAAGAATTGATTGAATGAATAACAATTTCTTTCTTTTTTGCAAACATCTATCACTGCTTTGATAATTTCATCAAGTAATGGAGTAAGTTGAAGGAAACGAAACGATCGATGGTGGATTAGAGCTACTTTCGATAGCTAATAATGGTAAATCACCGCTTTCAGCATTCCTTTGATTGCATAACAGCTGGAATTAGTGGCATCTCTCTAAATTCACTTTTCATCTCTTAAATTCATTCTTTAATTATCATCTCTTAAATTCACTTTATGCGTATATATTGAACACGATTCAAGTTCTGATTCCTGTAGAGAAAGCCGTAATGCCGGCCCAGTATCCTGATAATATGGAACAGTTGCTTGCATTCGCGGATAACAGCAAGTTTGACTCGTACAGTATGGCCTATCTTTGTTTATTCTGCGCAATTAGTCACTTTTCTTCAAGGCAGAAGGAAGACTAAGAACGTAATGCCGTTGTGAGAGTTGTCAACTGTTTAAACCATTTATTTACTTTTTGCGTGCTTCAGGTGTCAATGAGAATTCTGTTCTTGAATATCTTGAAGATCAGGAACTGAACACAGGTACTGTCTGCGTAATCTGAGCTCTGATTTATTCTCCCGAAAATTCTCGAAAACAAATGAAAGCATTCTCTAAGCCCACAATTAATGAAATCAAGAATCCATTTTGAAATTTTGGGACAGATTTGAAATTTAAAATTCCGTTCCACCAATTCATCAAAACACAGTCTGTGAAGTGACAAGACGATAAATAAGGACAGGGAATGCGTGAAGTATTGCCGGCGATGATTGTTGCAGCGAAAAATGATTCATGGATGGTATCAGGAGCTTCGACAAAATGTAATACAGCACTGGGAAGTTCATTTGCAAGTGATCAGGATGTTTCTTCGAATTCCGGTTGATCTTTATCCGTCATACATACCTTTATTCCCAAACCAAAAGGATTATAGGAGCAGCTACACACTGCAACATTATCAATGAGCACTTCGATATTTCACACTTCTTCAAATGACCATTACAAAGAATCATTATCCTGTAAAAAACCCTTATCATCACTTAATGACCACTACTTTCAGCCACTTTCGAATCAATCTGAAAGCCGAGCATCTCTCTCTCCGCATCCAAAATGATTAAATAAAAAATTAAACTTACGTTTCTTTGAACCACTCCTCAAATCACTATTAAAAATGTTGCGTCAACGTACCACTCCCACAATGTTACCCAATACGCCATTTAGCACTCACTTCCGTCATCAACGCACTTCGAGCACGTTTTGAATCGTCCAGTTTGCACAATGACTCCTCACCAACCGACCACTCTCCTAACTTGTGGTTTTGTTCGCGCAAATTACGGTGTGTGACGTATTTTTGGTGGGAAGGGGGGTAGTGATATCGGTGCTGGATGACAGGTACCATATTTCTGATGGTGTGTCGAGATGCATCGAGGTATGCAGGATGAGAAGTTGCTACATTAAGCTCATGCATTTGCACAACTTACGTCAAATTCATATGGCAGAAGACGGGAACACGGAGTGAGATGAATGGGAGGAAGTATATGGTATGAGTGGGAGAATTACCTCCCACTGTACAGAATAGTAATAGATATAAATGCAACATGCAGGGCGACTCATTTATTGTAAATTGTGATTTTCTTGGCATCACTTGCTGATTTATTAAATACAATCAAAATACTGGTAAAGGAAGCAAGAAAGGAAAGAATACAGTTAGAATAGAATAAACTGGGACGAAATAGAATAGAGTAATTGATTCACTCACTCACATAATTCGTATACTTTATTTCTGTTATTCATGTTCACTGTTTATAGGGTAAATGAAGCTCCGCATTGGCTCCGTTTAGACTCTTGTTTGGTTATCCATTCATATAATTTCATTATTAATTCTTAGCCTGAATGACTTCTTTCACTTACTTTGCCGAATTAAATCATTGCATTTTGCCTGCTTTATTCCAGCTATTTCGAGCTGTCCACTTCGGATGTGATGCCATATCTGTTATCATATAGTTAAGCCCAATCAGTTGTTTTTTTATCTAAGAGGAAATCTTTGGCGAATGCTTTACACTTTTTTAATCTTTTGTTTAATCTTTGCTTATATTCAATTTTGTTGCAGGCATGAACCATGATGGATGAGACCCATACGACAGCATAACATCTTCAACAAAAGCCGTCATGGAATCAGGTATTTGATAGGGAATCAAATCACTTATACTTTCCAGTTGTATATTTCAAAAGCAGATTGTGCTTGCATGTCATAGATGAAAAGTATCTGTTAGCTGTTATTTTAAAGGTGGAGATAGATGATTTATTAGATTAATGATAAATCGAATGGTTCCATTGTTGATTGTTTTGTGATTATTAGCACTTTTTTAATAAAGATACATTTATCTGCTTACGAGTTATGGACTTTTTAACAGAGAACAAGGAGAATATGTGGTTGTGAAACGGGGTTGTGATTAATTCATCAAAACAGAAGTTGGTCTGCTATAAAAAGAGTAAACGAAAGGTTAGAAATGACTGAAAGAGTTACTTGAATAGAAGCAGAGGTATGCTTCTGTAAAGCGAATACTCATACAAATGCTTTAAGTCTTTTTTTTTGTAATCTGTACCCTTACCAAAATTGAGTCATCATGAAAAGAATGATTTATTCGCATCGAAAATGAATTTTTCATAAGCCATTTTTCTGCATGCATTGTCTAAAAATCAGCTGGGATGTATCATCTAAGACAGCCTTACGGTTTAAATAGTTTATTTTTCTTTCTTTATTTGAGCTTCTTTGCCTTTTATTAAAATTGTGTTGTTACTATTGTAGTTTTTCTGTATCATCTAGTTCTCCTTCCTGTCCTAATTATATTTCTGATACATTTCTTTTTGAACATGAGCATATTAAATTTTCATTTTTATATTTTTGTTTTTACACTTTCCTTTGCATCACGTTAAAGTAATGCTTACTTAAAAATAACTCCTTAAATTCATATAAAACTGCACTGTTCCATTTATCAACAACCAAAATAGCCAAAAAGTGAGGTGTTTTGGAACTATTTTTGCATTATCTTTTCATCATCAAGTAATAGCTGAGTTATCAAATATCGATAAAACAAAATAGCGTATTGGTTGAAAGATAATGGTGTTATAATTTTTGCATATGTTTGCTACATTGAATTGTGGATAAGTGGATTAATGCAGTTCTTACGTGAAATATATTTGTCAAATAAAAGAGAAACAAATGTGATTTTTAATTTTCTTTATTCATCAAAACTTAATCCTAAGAATTTAAGTAAGGATATTTTTGCTGTTATTCACAAATAAGCATTTTACCACAGCAAAAATATGACACTGCAAGCAATGTTCTTTGCTGTTATTATGAATAAGAACTTGAAATTTTGGGAAGTATGTTAGATATCTGTTGAAAATCTCGTTTTTCCATTGCTTTCATTTTCTTTTTTTTTCTTTTTGTTTTGTTAGCATTTTGGTATTCCCAAGCTCCCGCACATTTTGCTTCATTAATGGTCTGTTATTTTTTCCTTTTGCTTATTTTTTTAATGGTATTAGCGTATTTTCACACATAATTTATTTTTCAAGTAAGTGATACTGATCACGTTCCTGCCATTGTATCAGATGCATAAAATAAGTGCCGCAGCACATTATTTATTCAGATTATTAGCTGTGTAAATTAAAGTTCATTTAATAGGAACATCGCTTGGCAGTAATCGAAGGCATTACTTGAAACGTAGCGATTGTTTTGAATGTGAATCACTGATAATGAGTATCACTGAGCTAAAGGAAAGCCAGGTAAAGGTTTTGCTTTTCATGGTCTGTGAAACATGAGATGTTTCTTCAATGAATAAAGAATTTAGGGAATTTGCGGATCTACACATGTGAGATAGTATAGTTCAACGGCATCTTCATACATCAGTTATGGAAAGGGAACAATTGTGGGGTAGACAAAGTAGATATTGTTTGGCTCCTATTGGACAAAATATCTGATAAGTAAATCATCAGAATACTTTTCTGTGAATCTCCATTTTCAGAGGAATTGTGAAATTACAAGACCTCAGCGAAACAGCTTCCAAACCACATATTTTAAAGATGGTAAAAGGAAAATTGATTATGTTCTAACTTACGAATGTAATGATGATGAGGAAGAATCCAGCAGTGTAAACGATGTGGAAGATGTAGGTGTTGCTTTGAAATGGATCATATTTATTGATTTTGTACTCAGTTTTTGTTTTATTTTCCTAGGTGAGATTTGTTTAATCGTTTAACTCACTGATATATTTTCAGACTTGCAATTTGCCGCATAGATCGGCAGGCATGCTATCACTTACACTTACACGTTAAACCGACATTAATATGTGTTTTGGTCAAGATAATGAGAACTTTTTTTCAAAAATCATCTTTAAAAACCATCTCATATGGTTTACTGTTGTAGAGCGCTTATGCAAGATCGCGAGAGGAGAAGAAAGCGAATAAGCGCCTGCAATACGAAGCAAATTTAAAGAAGCTCGGATTTGAATTAGAGCATGTTGAAGGGAAGGTGTGGTTTCCATAATATAATTTTTAACTTGAAGTCGCAGTGATCAGATAAAGGAATGGTTGGATTCTTTATTCTGAAATTCCGGACATTTACCTCTTACTCTTTGAAAGGATTTCATATCATTTTTCTTGGTTGAAATTTTCATTGCTTAGTATGAGATTGGAAGTGGGGCTACATTTTCACAATTATGTGAGAAATGTTAAGCTTCATTTACTGGGAAATTTTTATCCAAAGAGGAATTTTCGCGGTGTTAGATAAGCAAGTACAATATCTGTAAAAAAACGATTCCTATAAATTAAGCGGTTGCTAATATGTGATTTTTAGTACTGCAAAAGGACTCACTTTGTATTGGTTCATGCACCGTTTTTCCTGCTAATGAAACAAGCTGAAAGTCTCGGTTTAAAAATGCCAGTACTGCAAAGCGATGTGAAAGTTAGTTTATTTTCGTTATACTAAAATTAACATTATGTTGGTTTAGATTGGGATCTAATCTTTATTTGAAGAAGTATGGTTTTAGAAGTGTTTTCTTGTAACTTAAAGCTACAGAAATGAGTAATATCATGAAACTTTTGAATATACTTTCTTCGTAAACCAGTCCACATCTACATAAGCAATATGAAAAAACCAGATTTATGACAAAATATATAAGGAATTCCTTTGTGTCCATAAAAGGCTCACTTACAATGAACGCTGCAAAATGTTCGTTTCTTTATTTCAGGAACGAACTGTCTTGGAAGGGATATTGGACAAATTTATGAAAAGATTTCGTTTTTTTACATTTGATGAGAAGACAAATGAACGATTAAAAGAACCAAATTATTTTACAGTCCCTTTTGTGGCTGCTCATTTGGAATGGTATGCTTTTTATTTATTATTTAAAATCTGTAATATTAAATTTGCATTAATGAAAGCCTAATTAGCTAGTTGCATTCATACCAAATTAGTTATTGACATAAGAGAATCAAAAATAAGGTTAAAATGGCTGTACGAAATATGTGATTGTGATTGTTGATATATAATTATTTGATATGTATATCTGTGATGTGTGATATATGAATATATGTAATATATAATATACATCATATATGGTATATGATATATACCTTATATATTATATATCACATGAATATAAGATATATGAAACACACATATTTACATACCCTATATCTATGATATATAAATGTGGTATATAAATATGTGATTCAGTAATAAAGGGCGATAATATCGTCGTTTTTGTATTCTATTTTTTGTATGTAATTACGACCTTTTTACCAAATGTATGAACTGTAGGACTTGTTTTACAGTTATGTTGGTCACGAAAATCCAGATACATTCTTTGATAATTCGGAACGAAGTCGGTTAGTATATGATTTGTTGATTCGAACTAAGTATGATACAGATGAAGCTGAAGAATATCGTGTTGGCATACAACGTCTGATCAAGAATGGCACATATACGTCAGCTTTTCCGCTACATGAGGTAACATGGATATATTAGATTGAGATATTTTTATAAGATTTTGGATATTCAGGACTGCGTAGTCTTTTTAATTAGATCTGTTGCAAACTTTTCTTACTTATCATCTTAATGGAAATGACTGGATGGTTGGTATTTTTTATTCCTTATCTTTTATTGATGATTCAACGTTTGCTTCATATGTTAATTTCGTCACTTCTTTAATTTTTCATAGGACTGTGGTTGGAATGAGTATAATGCTGACAGAAATACCGATCGTGAATTTTTGTACTGGAACTGGGCTCGTATTGCAAACATTTACAAGTACCAGCCACTTTCCTTAATAAAGTGTGTCAGTATTCTTTCTTCCATTTCATTTCCTGATTTCCGTAACGGTTAAAGACTGAGCTTATATGCATTACTTCTTCTGTTTTGATTCAGCGGCACAGATTTGCATTTTATAAATCGAAATCGGTTTTAAGTGGAATTCGTCCTTGTTACTACTGCCATTAGGACGAATTTTGTATACGACATTTGAAATGAGATTTAATGGTAAAAAGATTACCACTGCAGAGTTTGAAATATCATGATTTTGGGATCAGTTCTGAGAATTTTGACAGCAGGAAAATCTGTTAGTTTGTTTGTAGGAAATATTTTGGCTCAAAAATTGGATGGTATTTTGCCTGGTTAGGTTACTACACGAAAATTTTAGTACTTGCTTCTATTATCGGCGTTTTATGTTTTGTTTATGGAATATCAACAATTTCAGAGGATGTACCAAGGTCACTTTCATTTCTCTATAAATAAATGCTTATTTTTATTCGTTTTTTTTTCCTCCGTATTAGCTTGTTTCACACATAAACGTTGATCTTTTTCACCAAATTTCCGAAATTATTTTCTTCAGGAGATAGCGCGGGAATAAATACTTTTTGAGGTCTTTCTTATTCATTCAGTAGAATTTTCAGTCCTTCTTATTTTTTATAATTAGTTGGAAGTTAATTTCGATGTCAAAAAAACGAAGTCGCTGTAATTCTAGTTGGTAGGGAAGTTGATTCGATGGTATTAAGAAACAGATTTGAAGACTTACTGGAAAGTGAAAAGATGATAAGCACATGCAATAAGGAACAGAAAAACATTTGTTATGTATAAAGTTAAGTGCCAACATGACTGGAATTTCTGTATTTTTGAATATGGTTAATTTTAGAGCATTTTTTGAATCATTTAAAAACTTTTTGCACCTTGGTTGAATTATAAATTTGGATTTGAGAATTTAAAATTCCTTAGATTCTGGAACTATATTTTTGCTTTTCAGTAATGACATTTGTGGTAGCGATGGAATTGGTGCTGAAGTGATATTATGCCCAACATGTGACAAGTATTGTGATTACACTCGACTTAATTCCAGTTGTATATATTCAAAGGTATTGTCTCTATCCATGTGATTGTTCTAAGAAAAGAAATTCAAAAGGTTTTCCGAAGCAAGTTGCTGAAGCCAAACAAAACATTCATCGCTATTTCTTTTAATTTCTCTTTATACTGTTTGGAAGTGTGCATTATTTATACGTTTGTTTTTTATTGTTTCGTGCTTACATTTTACTGTATTTATAAGGTGTTACTCAGTGATGGCAAAAGTCTTTTCGATTTATACATTTTTATCTATTTGTAATTTGTAATTGAGTTGCAGCTGTCATATGTGTTTGATAATACGTCAACCGTTATATTTGCTGCCATGATGAGTATATTTGCAACATTGTTTCTGGAAGGATGGAAGAGATATCACGCTGAAGTAGCCTGGAAATGGGGCTTGCTTGATTTTGAAGTTGACGAGGTTCTGTACATGTCTTTTTTTGAAAGTTATAGTGAATATTTACATTAGTGGCAAAATTGCAGATTGGGATTCTTAGTAGACTTTTGGCTTAAACACTCCTACAAACTAGTAAATATTTCTGCAGTTCAAATTTAATTACCAGTATTAGACATCGTCACTATAATCGTTCCACTAAATGTTATATTTCAACAAAATCTTTTTTTGTTTGAATCAGCTTTTTTCTTCTTTGTTGTATCTGACGCATTAAATCTCATTCCTGTTTTCTTTATTTATCTTTATAAGAATCGCTGATTGAGTGCACTGATCTCTCTTATCAGTTCACTATGTTTACAAGTGCCATAAGTCCTATCCTTTCTAAAGACATTTTTCAAACTGTTACTTTATTTGGATACTGAATTATTGAATTCAGGAAACAATCAGACCTGAATACCAGTTGCGCGTTAAAAAAGCGAAAACAATGCGAATTAATCCGGTTACACAGCAGTTGGAGCCTTATTTAACATTTACTTATCGATTTCTGCATTTAATTGGATCCGGCGCAACTGTTCTGTTCTTCGTAAGTTTCTTAATAGTTTTAATAATCTGCTTAATTTGTTTCGTCTTACATTTTCATTTTAAGGAAGTGTTAAAATGTGACAGGAATTTTTTGTTGAAGTTTTTATTTTTATTAAAATGAGAAGGGTGATGCAACGTTTCTTATTCTTTTTTCAATTCCTTTGAAGAATACCTGGGCCACCTTTTTTTTCAGCTTTTTCTCGTAATAGCATTTGTTATTGGCATTGTAATTTATCGAATCGTATTTTCTCAAGTTCTTTATCGGGTGGATAAAATGAAACCATATGCAAATCTTCTCACATTCACTACTGCTGCCACATTGAATTTAGCTATCATTTTAGCAATGAGCTATGTATGTTGAATATTTTGTTGATTTATCCAAGATCGTGGAAAGTAATCTGCTTTTTGTGGTTCTTTTCTATCAACGCATACAATGTTTTTTTTCAGAACTTTTGATTTAAACTAAGCAAATATTGGGAGAAAGACATCAATTTCAAATTTTCAATAGCATTCCTGAACTATTTTTCTAAGGTGCGAAACTACCTCAAGGGAAATAACGCTTTAAGGAGAGAAGAACCCTTAAAAGTCATTGAAATTAGAGAGAAATGAAGCTAATTATGTTTTGCGCTTGTTGTGTTTTGTACCTGAGATTCTATTTGCTTCTAGTTCTATTCATATCTGGCGCTGAAATTAACAGATTGGGAATGTCCAAGGACGCAACTTGAATTTGACAACAGTTACACATTTAAAGTTTATTTGTTCCAGTTTATCAACTACTACTCGTCTATCTTTTACATTGCTTTCGTAAAGGGCAAGTATGTTTTGAAATGTTAAATAACTACATAACCAAATCAAGAATGCATCAGTACTATTAGTCTGTTGTGTGATGCGATGCTATTATCTTGTATATTTTTTGTTTCGTAACGGTTTGTTTATCTTTTTATTTACATGTAACGAATGCGTTGTGATTTTTTTTTTGGTTGAAGTATGTCGTGATTAAAAATAATTTTTTCTTGATATTTTTTAGATTAATTTTCTAGCCTACACATCTCCTCTACATCGCTTTCATCACGAGATTAGGTAGTCCTGGCGGTAACGACATATTAAGCAGCTGTTTATACCACGGACGCATTTTCAGTTTATCCACACTGCTCATAATCTGATTTAACATCGTGTTCTAAACGGACAGATTACCTCACTTTTGATTTTTAAGTAGATTTTTTTCCGCATTTGCACTGTTTTGAGATCATTTAGAAGCTTGTCATTCAATCTATTACGACAGACACTTCACCTTATTTTGTGTTGTTTTTTTGATAATCTCGGTTTCTGGTTCATTGTTTTCAAGACTTCACCAGCGTATAGATAGTAGCACGTTGGCGTTGAAAGTTTAGCTTCGTTTTCATAATTGGATGATTTTTCAATACATTTCTTGCTTTATCTAAGGTGTTATATTTCGGCGCTAAAGCTATCATGCATCTTAATCTTCTAGCACTATAAATTAGTCAGCAGACATACTTTAACTGTGGTCGTCGGTAGCAAAAGTAGCAAGCATTTTTTCCTTCATTTTCTCATCGATTAATACCAGGTTAATCACATTCTCTTGATACCCATATTGATATGTAGTGTAACACCAAGGAATTAAGAATATGTTATTAATATAAGCCGCTTTATGAGTGGACCTTTTTAGTTTGTCGAGCGTACCTGGACGACATTATTTCGGTCTTCGGCCAGAAGAATGCGATCCAGCCGGTTGTATGGTTGAGCTTGTAATACAATTGGCAATAATCATGTGCGGTAAACAGTTCTGGAATGGCTTTGTGGAATTTGCATGGCCGTAAGCAATATTTTTTGGATTCTACTACAACTTTATAAGACTCTCTAAATCAGTTACAAATGAAAGTCTTGTTTCGTACCAAACGTTTTTCATTCTTAATTTTGAAAGTCAGCCTGTTTCCAGAGTATTTATGACTTGGTTACGTTCGCTGCGACTACTGGAAACTAAAAAGCAACGAGACGAAAGGACAAAGCATGAATTGATAGATGGTTTGAGTGGTAAGGATGGAATAGCTAGATGGGAACAAGATTATGTACTCAATCCAACATATGAGCAGTTCTTATTTGATGAATATTTGGAAATGGGTCGGTTTTTAATTATAAGTCAACATAATTTCCATATGTTATAATATGCTTTCCTTTAGAAAGAAAATGGACTCTGCGAATGGAATGCACTGTAATTACTCAGCTGCACTTAGTTTATCTAACCCTCCAATGCTTGATTCATGGACAAACTTAGCTAACTCTTTGCGATTCCTGTTGATATGAGAAAAAATAAGTCTTCCATAGAGTTATTCATGATAAAAGTAATTGGCATATTTTCTGGATGTTTTTTTCTCGCGAAAAGGAAATCCTTTTTCAGTGATACAATTTGGCTTTGTGACTCTTTTTGTGTCAGCATTTCCACTAGCGCCACTTTTCGCTTTGGTGAATAATATCTTTGAAATTCGGGTTGATGCATACAAATACGTAGTTGCCACTCGACGACCTGTGCCGGAGCGAGCACGTGATATTGGCATTTGGTTGCCTATTTTAAGCATGATTAGCAGAGCAGCGGTCCTTGTTAATGTATATTTCATTTTTATTTCCATCTCGACCAAAAATCTAAGAGGTATTGTAGAAAAAACGTTAGACAGCTGAAGTCTGCATTGAAACATTTAAATAAAACAGTATACGAACTGATTAAACAGCTGCACGTTCTTTTTACTACGTAGTACAATCTCATCTTTGAAGGCTTGTATCATAGCATTTACAAGCGATTTCATACCCCGTTTTGTTTATCGATTTGTGTATATGCATGATGAATTGTATGGATACGTGAACAACTCGCTCTCCTTTTATGATTCATCTGGAATTGTTGTGAAATGGAGCGAATTCAAGAATGATAACGTTACTATTTGTAGGTTAGTTTATAAAAATTAAGGTAACATTCCTTTTTACTCAAGCTTTCTATTCATTTTAAAAGATATGAGCTTATTTAGTACTTTTGGACAGTCATAAATAAAGTAAGGCTAGCATATTTCTTGCTTACGAAGTTTCTGGAGACCCTTTGATAGTACAAGAATCGTTGGTGAATAACTCGGGTAGTCTTGACGGGTATGTGGCATAAACAAGGAAATAACATTTTATCCACTTTACTAGTCCTATCATGTATTTTGCACTGGAAACTATGAAACTTTATAATTCATCAGGTTCCGTGACTACAGAAACCCACCTTGTACTATTGCTTTGTATGCAAATTGTGATGATGACTATGGTTTCACAATGCAATGGTGGATTGTTTTTACTTTTCGCTTGGCATTTATTCTCATTTTTGAGGCAAGTTCATTTCATGCAACAAAATTGCATAGTTATAATAATTTATTTTGATTTGGGCGAAGTAATGCTTAATTCATAACACATAATTCGGAACAGAATGACTTTCAAGTAAAAACTATAAGATAGTTGTTGGCATCAGTGATTTTTATTCTGTGATATAGCAAAAATTGATAGTAATAACACTAATGTTTCATTCTCCATGTTTCAAGAAAGAATTCCTTTCATTTTTGTTTTAAGTGTCATTGTTCTTTAAAAATGTAAGTGAATGCGTTTTTGGTACAAGCATTTTTTTGACATTTGACAAGGGAATTAGGAGTAGCAGCTTTATCGGACTATTTATGGAATTCCCTCGAATAACGGCATAATTAGGGTAATGAAATAACTGAAAGATGGCGATATTGTTGAAGGAATGATGTGTAGAAGGGAACAAGATTTGTAAATGGGCGTTATTAATTACTTTGAGGAAAGTTTCGAAACGAATTAAATTTCGAACCTTCTCCAGTCTTCATTCCTTTTTTCTTTGTAACGTTAACTCCTTTGTTTGAGAGAGCGATTTATTTTTCAACTTTGCACACTTCAGCAGTCATCTTTTTTAACATTTCCTGATATGAAATTGACATGGTTTTTAGTTTTTGATGCATATTCTAGACGGACTGAGTTCGAACTGATTAAATCGAAATTATTAATGAATATATTTTTTAAGCATTTAGTGGCAATGGTCAAAGCTGTAGTTGCTTATTTGATACCCGATATTCCAGCGAATATTTTCATCCAGCTTCAACGACAGCGTTTCCTTGCGCGACAGGCTCGGATTTCAGATATCACTTCATCAGTCAGCGCTCGGAATGGCTTAGAGAACAATCAAAATAATACAGAAAGAAGGTATATCGTTCTTTATTTATTTCAGTGAAGCAGTGCGTTTTAACGCAATTTCTGCAACGCAAGTTTTTCTGCTGACCACAGTTACAGGCATTATTTTATGGGAAATGCTTTCGCTGTTTACAGCTCGTTCAATGACGGGAAAAGGTGGCAAGTTGTTTGCAGCCGCATCTGAGCAATTGTTTTCTGATGAATTATTTCATTTTACTTAAATATTTTCAGCCAGGTAGACGCTACTCAGAACGAGCTGATCTTCCAACCAGGACAGTTTAAAAACGAGCAAACACCGGTTGAACTGGAAAAGATTATGAGAGATGATTTATGTAGGCGGGCACATTCTCTTCTCTCGCTTCGAAGTCATGGAAGTGGTAGTTTTCATACCTGTCGAAGTTCGGTAGATTCAAACGGGTCTTATACGTAGCTTCAACTGCCAGTCGAAATACTATTTTCCATCTGGCTTTTGAGAAGTGTTTTTTTTTCACTAAGAAAATATCACTTTCCAGATTAAAGAGATAATATTTTATAAATTTATTATGGCTTAGTTTTGAAGAGAAAACCATAGAGTTTGTTGATGTTGTTCTTATTTCAGAACAGTTCCTCATGTTAGCAGTTCGTTAAGCTTTTTTTTTATCTCGTGAGAAAATGGCAATTGATAGCTTAAAGCTTTTTCAGCTTTCTATATATAATATTGTATTTTGTTAGTTTTCTATTTTTGTTATGTTTTCATTATGTTGTTCCGCTCACTTTGTTGTTTTCCGTTTATTCATGCCTTCCCCTTACCTGTTCACTGGTATCCTTAATTGCATAATTAGTCTCTTGAAAATAACATAATATTCGATACACCTTTATTTATTATGTCATTCGATTCATATAATCATACGATTACATAAATTTTGGTGTTATCACCATTCGTTTTTTATAATTTTCACTTTTATTTCTTTGTGGCTTTTGGTGCCATTTCTCCATTATTAAATTCCAGTTTTAATTTTGTTTAATTGGAAACTGTTCAGATCATTGTGCTTTACATTTACACTGTGGCTTCTCCATTAATCGGGTTAATCAAGAAATATTGTTTAAGTTTCTGCTAAACGATAACTTTGTTTTCTCCGCCTCGTTTCTATATTTGTTACGTATTGATATAAGTGCTTTAAAACTTATTGTTTCTGCGTTTCACTCAAGTTATTTTTTAACGCAACCTTAGGAATTATTGGTATAGGGGTTTATTTTATGTGCAGTTTTCACTGGTAATAACCTGGTGTAGTGATCATTAAATTTAGATCAAATACTCGTCAGTAGAACATTTTTGTGTTTGGGATGATAGGTTATTAGGAATTCATATTTTTACTATTTAAAATGGTTAGACAGTGCTTGTGAAGTCAAATCACGTTGATTGGCCGAACAGTCTGGTATTTATGTAAGCAAAATACTTTATTTGATGATGTTGCTGTCAGAAGCTTATCAAATGACCAGAAGTTCCCGCTTGGACTTTGGAAGTTTTACTGCTCATATAAACACAGTTGTTCGTTTAATCGTTGATGTGAATACGTAAAATCTTTAAAATTCATTGATTTATTTGTTCGCGCCAATGTATCGAAATACTTGTTGAGGGAGGTGTACTAATATAACCTAATAAACGAAATGAAGTGGATGAGAATTTCCATTGTTATCAGGACAACTGTACAAGTTGTATCATTCTCATAGCGGAAGAATCTCTTTTATTATTGATTAGTTCTGCTGCAAACAGACATGCAATGGATTCTCATTTTAAAATTCCAAAGTTATAGTGGAGTTTTCAAGCTTAGTTTTTGGTTATCCAATATCGCATCCGTATTTTCTGTTGAAGAGAAACGAAAATGTATTATCAAAATAAAAATAGCCTTTTGAAATGGCTATGCAAGGATTACAATGCGGCTGTACATTATCTGCAGTAAGATGACCAGAAGACAGTACCAATGATTGATCTATCAATTTGTTATTACCCCTCGATTGGAGATCGTACAGATTGGCCAATATCTTGCAATATTGTTGCATATCATTGGTACTGTGAGTTTAGTGGTTAAACTTAATGTTTATAACTGCGTCAAAATCATGTCGGAAACTTGTCGTTTCTTTTTTTTAAAAAGATTCCTTAAAGTGGTTATTTGTTAAGGTCATCATTTTCAAAAGCTAACTAGATTTTATCCAAATAAGTCAATATCGTTCAGGTTTTCTTGCTTCTCCAACCTGTTCTGATTTCTTCACTTCATTTACTTTTTCCTTGTGTTTTGGTTGAACGGATTCGTAAATATCCTTGAACTAACTTAATTGAATCTGTTCGGATGGTATAAATAGGAGAAATATTTAAATGCTAATAGAAACTTTAAAATTTTTATCTTTACCTTAATTTTATTACTTAAGTTTTCCTTTATCTTTGTTGATTTCGTGCCACTAACCTAGTTATATTGTGTTCAAATAAAGCTTTTCTTTAAAAATTAAGCCTACGCGCGTTGATCACTTCTGTACAAAATAAATTTTGTTGAAGAAGCTGGAACAAAATCGATTATAAATGTTGCCAACTGTTGTTTGATGACGAATGAGCAATTCGAGAAGTTTTCATTTCACCCTTCATAGTACCTTAGTCGATTTTCCGCTGAAAAGGTTTTTTTTTTCTGCTTTTTGTTTGTCAACAATAAGGAGCTAAAAAAACCATCGCTGAAAAAATAATGAATTGAATGAAGGGTTAAGATTGCGCAGTTTAATGTGTTGTTTAATCTTACGAATTACTTCTCCACTTGACGTTCATTCTTTATATCTTCAATCCTTGAGATAGTAATCAAAGTAATTAAAATGTTTCTGATCGGGCGCTGGTAGTATGCTATATACAGACAAATACGGCTGTACATCTTGTTAAGCCAAATGTACTGTAGTGAGTATTTTCGGAGAATAAGTACAAGAATAAATACAGGGAATAAATACAAGTAATAAATACAGAGAATAAAGAATAAGAACAGAGAATAATCGGAGAATTAATACAAGTAATTTACGTGTCTTATGGTGGACATTAAGAGTAATATGCCATGCGTATTAAATGCTTGGGAAATGCTGAACCAACGAAACTGGCTATTATTTTGCCATAGTCATTTGAAATGCTGATTCAATAACGATAGTTGAGAAGTATTTTGTATTATTGATTTATCGTGTTTGATTGAAGATCTGGAAGTTTTGAGAGGATATCAAACGTCAAGTGTCGTCTCTTCTCCTTGTCTGCCTATACTTTGATGCATACATATGTATATATATAGCTATAGATAAATAAATAGATGAATGGATGGATGGGTAGATAGTTAAATAAATACACTTACAGATCCTGTGACAATTGATGAATTAAACGACTTGAGCCACTTCAACCACACGCATCCACCTACTCACCCAAATGCACCGTTTCCCTTCTTTGTTTCACTAGTATCAGTAATGCTTCTAGCTAAGCATAAGTTATTGTTGATGAAGAATGCTTTGGATTAAGTATCCCCCCAAAAAGGTGAGAAAAACAGCATGATATGTTTGTTTTAGTGAGGAGAAAAACAAAGACAGATATGTAAACAATGGTATTTGAATGTCTTTTAGTTTGGGATGTTCACGGATGGCACCAAAATGAAACCTTAATTCAATGTCGTGCTTCTCGGCCACTTCATTCATTTATGGATGGTTGCTTTCAATAATTTATTTGTCGGTTCAACTAAACTGGATATAAAAGAACGATTAAACTAATTGGTATCGTCTGATACTTCAATTTCACAAGGACAGATGTTTCACTCCTTTAGTGTTGGAATTGTTTTATGATTTCTTGTTACCGAACTTGGTTACATTCTTCCATTTTTTCATAGGACTCAATTATACGACATTTTAAATTTCATGACAAGATGCTCCAAAGGCCTACGAATTCAATCATCAGAGATATGGAATAGGATTTGATGGGTGTAGTTTGATGAAGCAAGTTCATTCCACATTTCAAAACGTCATTTGACATGCAACACGAAGTGACAGGTAAGTACCTTAGTTGGGTAGCAACTGTTGGAAAAGTCAAAGCCCTTACAAATCATTCAATAATAGTTATACCTCACTAATAAATCTTATTAACCATTTAATGACGAATAAATTGGTTCGGAAGTTTACAACTCACTTAAAATCACAATAATTTGCAATTTGGCTTCAAACATATAAGAATTTAATGTAATCAGTTGATAACTAAAAATTGAAGACTTTGAAATTAATAGTGGACATATTACTGGTAAAAGAAAGTGTGCTAAAATTTAACTTCTACTAATTAATAGTTTACGATGATTGAGTGTGTGTAGTAATCCCAACAGTTAATTTGCCCCAAATTTCACAATTCATCGTGTCGAAATATTTGTTGACATAAAGTTTCCATCTTCTTAGTCACTTTCAATGCGACATTCATGGGTACAACCAGCACTTATTGTTCAATTTTCTATATTCCCTTGATAATAATCGAGCAAGTTAGTCAGTTAGTCAATCAGTCCGAAACTTGTGTGTGTATGTCGTACGGCTTATTTATCTTCAGAACCAGCAATCGGAGTACTGTCCACAACTAACAATGACAAAAGTATTTTCGAAGCTGGACTGAGTGTTGATTCGATTCACAATATTATCACTACAGTTCTATGCGGTGCGGTGAAGGGAGAGACTCATTGTCGATTCCTAATTCATCGTGGAAATTTTATATAAATGCTAAAACGACAATGCTATGATGATGAT